ATCTATATGATTCAAATCCCAATATTTTCCATATAATGCTCAGGGTCAGAAATATTGCTAAAACCTTTTCTTTGAACATAGAAGAGAACATCTGAAAGCTCAGTCATTTTATAATTTTGAACAAGTACTTGGCCATCAACATCCTTTAAAGACCCAATCCTTATTTTAACATTTTGCTTACCTTTAATATATTCAAAAAACATTTACTGTTAGGTTTAACATTATTAGCCAGCCATTGCACATAAGCCCTTTTGGATTTTCTAATTTCCTTTTAACCAGATTCCTAATTTTCATTTAGTTCTATAAACCTTCCATCCTATCTATGAATTGAAACCTTTCAAGCTTATTTCATTAATCCTTGAGTTTCTTCTTTATGCCTTAAGTAACCAGTTAGGTTTGATCTTCCCTATTTTTGTTTTACTCTTTTTAGGAAGTTGCTAATCTCGAATTAAAAGAAATATTTTTGATAGATTGTTTAGGCAGAGTATTCATGATGAGTAAACTAGAATGGACGGCAACTGCCTGTTGGAAAAACACAAGTGTATAGGATGACGTTTAAAAAAATTCCCAAATAATTTCACGCCACCTTTTAATTCATTATCTCAATTTACTAATGATATATATATTCTCTGATGGCCTCAAAATTGGCTTTCTAAAAATTAGGAACCAAATTTCTACATTTTCTCATCGCAACACGTAAAAAAGCATCATATCTAAATATGTAACGACTATTTTTTCCCCCAAATGTTCCCCAACTTTAACTCTTTCAATCACACCCTCAGTAATGGTTAACATCTTTCTTGTTGGTCATCTGACCACTTGGTATAGAAAACCATCTTTAATCACTTCAAATAACCTCTTTCACTTTCTAGTTGACTCTACACAATCCTTAGCAGTGTGTCTAAATTTAAAGTTTTCCATAATTATTTCATCGGTATCCTTATTAACATCATTTCTGATATCAGTATACAATTTCTCATTGACATAATCTCTCTTATCAGGTGATTTGTAACAATTGCTAGTTAATTACTAGGATTTTTTTGTCTTCATTCTTAACAGGTCGAAGTTCATTCCTTACATCAAAAGCCACACCACTCCATCTTTTAAAAAACTTATCACAATTATCAATATTCCTATCATCGACATTCTCCCAATCTAAGCATGTTTCACGAATTCCAATTTTATCATATTCTTTGATTGGAACATGAGCCACGAACTCATCCTTCATGCTTCTCATTATTATAACATTAGAATAATAGCAACTAAGCTTATTTTCAAATATTAAACCTTATCTTTAAAATTATTATTTAACTTTTTTAGACTTTAAATCTTTTTTCAATCTCCTCGATAGCCTATCGATTTATTTATATTCAATTTACTAAGATCCCTTGTCTCTGTACAAGTTTAATTTAAACTGTCTCTAATGGATTTTTAGAGCTTTGCCGAATATCTTGCTAATTAGCCTGCTTAAGTGGAGTCCAGCTTTAAGATATAATTCACTCTTACTATTAAATTTATCCCACAGGTCCAACAAGCACACCTGTTGTTCTAAACTTATCCTTGATAATCTTTCTTTTAAACCTTGGATCTAGCCCAAGGGAGCACTCCCGAAAAAGCCAGACATCTATTTTTATCCCTAAATCTCTGAAGGAGTTCTATGTACATTTTAAGCATCTCTTCTGACTTACAAATTGAAACATCATTCACTCTTAAATTCACTACTAAAAGAGAATTCTCGTTGGTACCAAAAACTAAACTACCAACACTTTCTATAATGTTCTGTATTTTTGTCCTGGCAAGCAAATTCTAGTCTTAGTCTTTCTATACTTTCTATCACCTGGGGGCTCAGCGATAAGTCTACGGGCTTACAACATTAAAATCCAAGGGTCGATTCTCTTCGATGGACCTAACACAGGTAGCCTAAAGATCAACACCAACAAGCATTTCAGCCTCCTGGTGGCTATGATTAGTTATAATGCTTATAACGGTGGGCAGAGCACAGATAGCTCATTGTGTAGCTTTGCACTAACGATAAACAAGCAAGAAATAAATATATGCTCCCTACTACAAACAATGTCATTAATATACATTGAGAGAGAGTCCCCCACTATTTACACCTCTTGATCATCTCCTTCCTTATTGCAATCAGTCAAAGGTTTAAATCCATTTCAGACTGATACCTGAATTTTAACTTAACCTCTCTTTATAGCCTTAACGTTTTAGTGCTACTCACTCTTTTAAACTAAGCACTATTCTCCTCACCTTCTACCAAAGTAACCTTTACCCTAATTCTAACCATTTCCTCTCATGCTTTTGATTTCTGCTCCTATTTTTACACATAACTTTCCCCAAAGGTGTATCTATCTTATTTTAAAATGGATTTAAACTGTATTCCAAAATGCTGACTCATCATGGTGCCCAAAATCTCGTCTTGAATCAAGAAAAACGGCAGAAGTCCATAGTAAACTCAGTCCACATATATCTAGTTATCCTCAAATAAGAAGAGTCTCGTATCTTTCTTTAAAAATGTAACATATCCTCCTTAAATTTAGCTTTAAAAGTCTAAAACAAATGATTTAACAGGTCAGATAATAAATAATTGAATGAATATCTAAAATTATTAATTTAAGATATACATTTCTCTATTTTATACCCTGTTTGATTTATATTTCAATTTCCTGATAAAGTTTTCTTTAAATATTCTAGTGTTATTTAAGGTCCATAGAATCCCCGTCGTATAAACAACAATAAAAACTAAAAACATAAAGGTCTCTTGATTCACTATGAGATTGTTTACTGCATTCATGAAAATGGTTTGAACAATGAACAGAATTGTTTTCCTGATTTATTAATCTCATCTAGCCTTAGGATCGGCGGCTCGGTTAGTTTGTATAAGCCAAAAATTTTTTTTGCACTCGGGTGGCTGATCCTGACAGCAAATTTAAAGATTAGATATGTTTGGGAACGAGGATTCGAACTCGCGACTCGCAGATTGGAGTCGAGCGACCTAAGCGCCAGGCCATGCCAGGCCAGGCCTCCTGATTCTTTACGTTATACCTACATTAGTTCTTCAGAATTTTAAAATTTTGTGAAATACTTGGCTTGGCCTACACAGAGTCCTGATACGAATATTATTAAAGCTGTATGGGCTTATATCTAAAATCAGAAACTCGAGAGACAACCAAGCAACAATTAGCAGTTGGTATATTACAATTAATATTGTAGCTACTAACAACCTAGCTCAAGACAGAGTAGGGCATGGGGTTTCAGAATGGGTGTTAACAAATTTTATAAATACTAAGCACCAATGACTCTCACGTCCAACCCCAAACAAGTAAGCACCAAAGATTATTGCATTTTGGAATTTACAATGATATGATATCTGAACAGCTTTATGTATTAACAAAATAATTATGGTTTCGTATTTATGCCCTTCTTTTTGTGAAATGAGAAAGTTTCTATCTAATATTGTCATATTCTTCGGGTAACAAACCCGTCATATTCGTTTGACTTAATCGAGTTAGAAACAAATGTCTTAGTTAAGAGTTTTGCCAGAAAATGTTTGAAATATACACTGCCAATTAGTTTATATATTCTTATTAGAACAACATATGTTAACATATGTTAAATATGTTAACTAACGAAGACAGGGCTTCTAGTGTAGAACATAAACTTATGTCCTCTTTCGAAAACAAATGCTGTTTCTATCATAAAATCGACATATCCATAAATCCCACGCGAGGTTTGCTTTCACCTTTATATTAATTTTCGTTTCACAGATGAATAATATATCTTCATATTCCCTATACACCTACCATTGGACTTGTTCCTACCTAAACCTAATTAAATGAGGGTTTTGTGGCTGATACACAGATCTTCAAGACAACTAGCCCATGAAGGTCAATTATATATTTTTAATATTGATCATTTAAGTATTTAGTAAAAAGATACCGAAAAATATCTTTTTTAAAATCTATGTTAACGTAAAACATTACCAATGTACATTTATAGTGATCACCACTGTCATAATACTATACTTTCGTTTTTAATATCATATACTAGACTAAGTATGCTCAATTCCGTTCCAAAATCGTTGAAAATGTCAGTTATAATTTTTATCCATCTCAAGGGAACAAAAGAGCATGGTTCTTTTGGAGACGTATGTAATCTGTGTGAAACTATTTTTAAACAATAATTACTTTATAAGTCAGTCAAGACCATTTTATATATTAATAATAAATAATTTATAGTGACTTTGTTTAGTATTTAGACTTATTAAGTACATATGTAGCTCAGAGCGAATATGGTAGAGTACAGAGTTGTATAAATTCAGTTACATTGTCAATTCAATAACAATATAAATAATTAAGTATCAACAAGTCAATGAAACTGGAGAATTTAAGGTAATATGATTTGACCCTTGTCTGTGGCTAAAGCTAGACAACACATAGGTAAGTAAGTACCTTAGTAGGAAGACCTCGTGGTCGTACTTTTATTAATGACATTTGTCTGGAAGCACTCTATGACTTGATTACCCACCTACCTTTTGCCCCTGTAAGCCACTGACCTGGTGGTTTAAAAAAAGAAAGGGCAAACTGTGGGGGCTGAGCTGTTATCTCCAGTGCCTTAGGCTAGCACGCACGCGGGTGGATTTTTCTATACCGTTTAATCTTCCTACGAAACTGTTTAGTGCCGAGACAAGGTTTATATGCAGTTTGGTTACGCAGACTGTTTTGTTCTGGTCCCCTATCTAGCAAACACTACTGGCCGGGTCTTGTATCGTTTGTATTCATCAGTTAACGATTAATCGTGAGTTGTCGCACCCATAGAGGCCGATAATTGGTCTGGAAAAGCAGCACGAAGGTTCTCATGATTCGCAATCTGTGGCTGAGTGAAAGCAAGCTAGCGAACCACATCACATATCGGGCTGTACTTCTTTTAACATTTCTTTGAACCCAAAGTCTTTATTTAGTTAACTTTATCTATTATTTGTCGAAACCATGAACGCTTTGTACATGGAAATAGAACTTTTTCATATAATGTTTTTTCCAAGTATTCTCATGGTCGACAGCATGGTAAGTATTTTGATTCAGTTTATAATTAATCGAATATGTTGCGCCTGTAACATTTAATTTATTGCTTGTACTCTATATACGAGAGTTTTGAACACGTAGAGCCTTTACTGTTAATATCATGCATATAAAAATGGAATAAAACAAAAAACTATTATTTTAAACGACCAATAAATGAAGAAGTGGTACGACAAGTTTACCTTTGAAAATCACAGAAATAAGTTTAACATAAAGATACTCTTTAGTAGAAGGCTTATACGTCGATTGGTAGATCAACGAAGCTAAACTGTGAGGGCAAAGAAATATTAAGTGTTTGCAATACATCCTGTAGATAAACAGTATTAACTGGTCACAGGTTCACAAAATACCATATAAATGCAGGACATTTGTGAAATGTGAGAATAAAGAGAATAAAACAATTATATTAAGATTCATTTTGTTCATGTACTTCTGTATCTAGCGTGTCACAATTTCCATGAAAAAATCAAGCTTCATCGAGCAATGGAAAGATCAAATGTTTTCTTGAACCCTCCAGAATACCAAAATAACAGTTTCTAAGAAAATATCAGCGTGTGATGCAGCAAATTTACCAATGCCAGCGCAGGATTACATAGGAATATTGATATTTTTTGTGACTGCTGATACAGAAATAATTTGATATCATTAAGTTCTGCAAATAATGCCCTCTCACTTTCATTTTGGCTAGTGAAGTTAAAAATGTACATTATATACACGAGTAACAGCAGAAAATTCGAAAATTAAACTAAGCTTTGAGTAACTGATGAAGATGAGACGAAAGAATAATGGTTGTGTACGTGTGATGGAAAGCAGAGAAAGAGTAGAATTAGAAAGACACGTTCAAAATAAAATAATAGTATGTTTATAAATAAATTTCAATAACTGTGCTGTACAGCATTGACACAAGCTTTTCTCTTCTCCCTAAGCACTAGACAAGTATTTATTTGAAGACACAGATTCTACCAAACTGACCCTTATATCACTAGCACACTTAAACTGAATATAAAAGAAAAATGCCCCAATTTCTAGCTAATATTTTCACATTCAAAGTGAAAAGGGTAACTGGCTTTTAACCTTCTTATTTTATATATCAGCCAATGACCTATCAGGGTTATCTTGCTTTTCACCAGTTCTAGACAAACAAATGAGGAGATGTAGATAAGCTAAGCTGGGAAGATATAACTAAAGACAAGTGTCCTTCCTAAGAGACAGGTTGCTAGAGGTCGGGAGTGGACTTCGAAATAAGAAACTTTATAAGCATACAGAATGAGAGTCAGTATGCTTATAAAGAACGGTAGTGGTAGTGGCCAGTTTCATTATATTTTCAATGATGATTTCTATGTCAAGAAATGACAGGATAGTAGAAATGTGCCTGGTGAAATTTAAGGAAGGGGTAAAAGGCTGAAAGAGAATTAATAAAGTTGTCAAATTCAGTTATATTCCCAATAAATATGTCGAAAATGTCGTCAATATACCCGGTGTGCAAATGGGAATTTTTCTTGGAAACTTAAAAAAAAAAACAACAACAGATTTTCCATATAGCTAACAAACATGTTTGCATACAAAGAGCCCATCCTGGTTTGGTTTCCATAGCAACTCACCACATAGTTCTTTATAAACAGTTTCATAAAACTTAAATGTACTCAAATTTAGTACAAGTTCGGTAAGCTGTAAAATGGTATTAATAGAAGGTACGGGTGTATTTCGTCTGTCAAGGAAGAACTTGAGGGCCTGTAAACCCTCAGTGTGAGGATTAGCGGTGTAAAGAGATGTTATACTACCTGAGAAGATCAAAACAGAAGATTTTGTAGGGACATTAAAATTGTCAATTAACTGAAGTGCATGTGCGGTGTCGCTAATAAACACCACATTTCACCAACCTGTTACTGGTGACGATCCTCTCCGTAGTATACAAACCCACACATGCTTTTCAGTTAACTGGCAATTTTAATGTCCCTACAAATCTTCTGTCTTAATATTCACTGGTAACGTATCACTTCTTTACACCGTTATGCCTCACAATGAAGGTTTACAGGCCCTAAAGTTATTCCTTCACAGACGAGATACACTCATACCTTCTACTGATACCATTTTACAACTTACCGAATCTGTACTAAATATGACACCGTTTAATGACACAGTTTACAAACAGTTATGTGATGTTGCTATGAAAACAAATCCAGGATTGGATCTTTATATACAAACTTGTTTGTAGGCTGTGTGAAAAATCGTTTTTCCCCAGTTTCTAGGTATATTTACGGCATATTTATTGATAATATAACTGACAACTTTATTAATTTTCTTTCAGCCTTCTTTAAACTTCACCAGGCACATTTTTACCAGCCTGTCATTTCTTGACATAGAAATCATCATTGTAAATAATAAAAAAACTGTCCACTACTGTTCATTATAAGCATACTGACTCCCATTCTTACTTACGTTTTGATTCGTCTCATTCTCCTACCACTTTACGTTCAATCCCTTACTCCCAATTTTAGCGTTTATATCACAATTGTAGTGACGATGATGATTTCATCTCCAAGTCTGAAGAAATGACCGACTTCTTTTTCTCTCCGGGCTATCCTAAACGAATCTTACAAAAGGCTTTCTGTAAGGCTTGTCATAAATGTCGTAAGAATACACTTGAGACATTGTTACAAAAGACGAAATGTAACAAGCTTACTTTAACTGTTCCTAATCACCCAGTTGTGTCCTCCTAAATCACCAGGGACAGCTTTAACATTTTTCAAACTAATACTGTCAATAAGGGTATTTTCAGTGAAAAAGCTGTTGTTGCTTTTAAACACAACCAACGCTTTTGGGTTACCTTTGTTTATGCTAACTTTACACTCCTCCTGGTTCTTTCACCTGCAACCAACCACGTTGTGTAACTTTTCACCATGTTGATAATCGAATTCCAGTGACATTTTTCCCATATCGTTTTTAAATTATAACTAATTTTACCTATTTACCAAAATCCGTTATACACTGCATTGTTTGTGACATTTGTTACTTGCTGTACTTCGTTGAGACTGGTCGCAAAATCAGTGACAGATTTCGCGCACACAGACGACACGTGTTACATCGTAATCTTGACTTATCAGTCTCAAGACAAACACGACTGTCACTTCTCAGACTTGTTCTTCTAAGATCTACATCAACAGACCGTTATTTACGTGGACGCCAACAACAAGCCTTTTTTATACTCTAGGTACAATTTCTCCACTTGATTTGTACGATAAATTTTCATTTTTTTGTAACTTTACTTTTGACATCCTCTGACTTTTCCCACTATTACCTCTGACCTATCAGCTTTGCATTTTTTACACATTTTCCATCTGCTTCTCTTTCCCTTGCATCATTTCTTTACATTTGATTCGCCAATATTGTTACATCATACTTCGAATGTCGTACATTCTCCTATTGTTACCTTTTTTAGTGATATTCTGATATGCTGTGTACATTAGACTTTAACAAACATCACCCGAAAAAGGGTTTAGGCTTGCAACGTTGTGTCCACCTAAAGCGTTTCTAGATTTTATCATCATCGTATCTAGTGTTGATTTTCTTTTTTGAACTTTGCCTTAGATCTTTTGTGCAGTTTGTTGTATATATTTTTCGTGTCTGTATACATGATCAGTTACTAAAGTCATTTTGTGACTGGAAAGATGTGTCAAAATGTGGGAACATTTACATAACTACATATGGAGTTATATTAATACAAGATTATTAAACAATTTTAATTAAAAAGTGATAAAAGAGATCTTCAAAAAATTATAGAAACAAGATAGGTAATTTAAAGTGAATCGCAAAAAAGTAAACAATCATTCTTAAGGCTTGAGGCATAGTGTTGACTCAAGCTACAAATCACTATTTTGACTCTCCTAAATATTACAGTTTTTAGACATGGAATCAAAACAGAGGTTTATAGCTTCAGGAAATAATGTTTGTTTACTTTTTCGTGATTGCATTTGCACTTTAAGTTACCATTCTTGTTTCTGTAATTTTTTGAAGATCCCTATTCTCCCTTTTTTAAATTAACAATTTTGTTTCTTTACTTCTCTTTAAGTTCATCAGAACATAATTCTGTATAATAGCAACAATTTTCTATTTTAAACAGTTTAGTTAATGAAATAAGTAGTTGGTGTGTGTTATTCTCTCGGGAAACAATGACAACCTTTGGATTGGCTTCATGCAGATTGGATTACTGTTGCTCCTGATATCATAACCACAATGTTATCATTGACAGTGGTACTGCATGTATGATCACTATGATGCATGGTGATCAACATACCACATGTTATGTAAATGGTTGTAAAATATATATAGTTACTATATTTATACCCTGTAGCTATATGGAGAGTCTGTAAACACTAGATTAGAGACTACTGAATTATACCGGAAAGTAGTTATCCCGGCTCTTGGATTGAAGGGACTACTGAACTATATTGGAATGGTGCATGGACTAGATTTTGTAACCTCATGAGTTTTATACATGCATGCACATGCAATGCATGTTTGTTAGTATTTATATCTATCTATCTATCTGTCTGTCTGTCTGTCTCTCTCTCTCTCTATATATATATATATATATACACACATATACATATAGGCTTTATAGATTTTATAAGTTGTTAAGCCGTATATATATAGACAGCCATATGAAATTTTCAAGTTTTATAGATGCATGTATACATATTCAATGTAAATATAAGACAATGTATCATAATATAACAGTATATGTATACAAATAAGCATTTGTTATATTTCTTATAGTTGTTATATTTCCCTCCTCCTCTTCGCTGGCCATAGTAAAGCTGGTCACGGTTTTGCTGCAGCTGGGCAGATTTCCTCTTAGAGTGACATTCTGCACACTCTACAAGGTCGAAAACGTGTTAATTAACAATTATGAATTGATTATATTTAGATACCTTCCCCGTTCATTTCTGATGGAGTTTGGGTCGTGACACTTGTACGACCCTCTTTCACGACGCTCCTAAATTCTGGTGGGCCGTAGCTGCTGCATACTTTATCTGGAACTAAATATTTTCTAAATAAAATATATAGCTAGAAATTTTCTGCCTAATTTTCGCCTAGAATTACCATCTCCTGCTAGCACGATTCTTGCCACTCCTTAAAGTCAGCTTCAAGGATGGCTACTCTATCTGCAGTACCTATAAAATTCGCAATCACGCAGTGTTGGCTATAATTCGACACTTACCATCAGCTATCAGCATAATTTCTGATCCGATGCTCGAATCTGAACTTGGTGATATATTTTAAACTACGACTTAAAGATATATGTTGTGCAAGACAGCCTAGACGTTTTTGTAACATGATTCGATCATGCAGTGGTAAAAATGACTGTGATCGTCTCAGCAGCGTCTAATCCGAAAGGGCAGGAACCCTATACAAAAACAAATGAAACGCGACATCAATACAATTGCAACAATAAGTTAATAATCGCTATGGTACATGTCTCACACCTGTTATATAAACATGAAATTACAACCACAGCTATATACATGTGCATGTATATTACATTATGAGGTTCCATATAAACTACAGACTACATTAAAACGATTGGGTGTCAACGGTTATACACCCGCTGTTATTTGTTAGGTCGTCAACTAAATTAAAAACTATCCCACACAATGTTGCATTTAGTAATATTACCCAGCTTTTATTACTATACTCACAGCCATTTTTTTGGAGGTTTTGGCTGTAAAACTGGCGGAACAATATTAAATAATAATAAAGAAGAACAAATGAACGATTTCTATTATGAGTTTGTTTGTTTTTTTTAATTTCGTGCAAAGCTACACGAGAGCTATCTGCGCTAGCCGTCCCTAATTTAGCAGTGTAAGACTAGACATCACCCACCGCCAACTATTGGGCTACTCTTTTTCCAACGAATAGTTGGATTGACCGTCACATTATAACGCCCCCACGGCTAAAAGGGCGAGCATGTTTGGTGTGACGGGGATTCGAACCCGCAACCCTCAGATTGCGAGTCGAGGGCCTTAACCACCTGGCCATGCCGGGCCCCTATTATGAGCTACCACCGTGCTTCATGATAAATACAAATCACAAGGAGTTTTTTTTTAAAAGTCCATTCAAGCCTGCTATTTTTTGAGCTCTGTTAGTGGTAAATTGATTTACTGCTCATTTGGAGAGAACTTATCGAACATTTAGGAGCGTTATAGATGCATTATCCCAGGCAACAGTTTGTGGTGTTACCTTTATTAAGTGCATGTACTTCTGTTCTATTGATAGCATATAACACATAATTCAAAACCCGTAGTTCCAAAGTTACAAAGGTTAACATTTTCAGTAAGTATTCGTCAAGAATTCTGAATCTAATTTAGTTCTTTTTTCTCAAAACTAACACTCATATAATTCGCATGAAAATATATATCTTCCCGCTTCTTGGAAAAATGACATATTGATTTTCTGAGGATTTCATTCTGCCTGTTTTTATTAGAATTAAAAGTTTTAGGATAACCAACTAGTTTTATATTATTTGTATGTTCTAAAAGTTAGTAATATGTGAGCATTTTCAAGATTAATTTAGATAGATTTTGTTTATTTACAGTTTATATTAGCGGCACTATCTATAGCATTGGGTTGGGAAATCCGTGCGGACATTCGTCGTGGTTATCCTTGTATACGACGACTGAATCAGTTATACTGTCCAACACCAGGAAATAAATACCCCAAGTGAGTAACGATCATGTCGTTATCATTATGTATACATGCTTGTTATTCGATGTTGCTTTTATTTGTTCGTGGATTAAGCTCTTAAACAACAATATGTAAAAACTAAAATAACTAATTAACAATTTTAAAACTAACAGAGCAGAAGAAGGTCTTTCCTGTTTAAGCCTTGTGCAATCCTGTTAAGATTACTTTTAGTCATGCATAAATTTCTGGATTTTTTTGCCGACGATGAACTATCTTTCGTAAATGTGTGATTTTAATGAAATCTATTTAGCAGCTGCTAGATGAAACATTAATATATTATAATAAGTGCACAAAATTTGATTACCATTCCGCCCAAAAGCCCTTATAAATATTCTCTATATCTTTCAAAGTGCTTTTGTTTCATATGTTATTTTTTCTAAATTTCAGTTTACTAATTGGATTTGAGTATTATTCAAGTGAAGAAATGCACTAATTAATATTTGTTTAGTAAATAAATAAATCAGTTATTTTTGTAATGAATAAATGGATTAGTTATGATTTTAGTACTTTTTCAAATAGTTTTCACATTCAAGTTAAACTATACACCAATATAGACATTTGAAAAGTTTTTTTGGTGTACAAAACTTGAAGATAGCTTTTATATGCGGAAATATCTGTTAGCTAAGTTCTTGCACAGATCTTACTGTGCTTATTCCACACGTAAGCTGTTGCCTGCAACACACAAAGATGCG